CCGACCTGCACCTCCAGGCCAGGCGCAGAGGAAGCGAAAGCAGGTGGGGGGAGGGAGCAGAGTGCCCGACCTCCGGCCTGAGCGAAGACCCGTGCACTCCCCTGGGAGCCCTAAGATACCCTAGCCCCAGCGTGTCACTTCATAGATGGGAAAACTGAGGCGTGGCTAGGGTGCCTGGGCGTCCCCCGCACCTGCCCCAAACCCGAGCTCTGGGAGCTGGGGAGATGGCATTTCTGCCTCTAATTGTGTCCCTCCTACTGAACTCTGGGGCCGAAGGAGGCCAGCTGCTGAGGGAGGGGTCGAGGACGCGGGGCCCCAGGGACCCCCGGCCCGCCCCTGGCCCGCCGCGGCCGCCCAGCCCCGGGGCCCCTGCGCAAACAAGCGGCGTGTTTGCCGAGCGCGCGGCGGGCGGCGCGGCCCGAGAGCGATGAGGATTCGATGGAGCCGCGCGCCGCGGCAGGGGCGACGGAGCCAGAGCGGGCGCGGGGATCGATCGGGCGCAGCTGTCGCCAAAGAGCCCGTGGGAGCATCCTACCCCGCGGGCCAGCGCTGCTCGGGCGCCCCGAGACCGCGAGCAGGAAACCCGGGACGTCGGGCCCGCCAGGGGCGAAACTCCAACGTCGCGGCACCCCGGGTTGGGAGCCCCGGACGTCTGCGCGCCCAGCGTCCGAGAGTTGGAACCTTGGGGCGCCGCGCGCTCAGCCCTGCCGGGACCTCAGCCAGGCCGGAAAAGCCCGGTCCCTCCTTGTCAAAACCTAAATAAAGTCCCCCGACCCCGCCCGAACGAAGGCGGCTGGAGTCCGGCCGGAGGACGAGGGCCGCAGCAGGTGCGCGCGGCCCGGATTTGGGGCGTCCGCAGGTTTGGGGGGCTGGGGTGGGACCTGTGCGGACCTAAGGCTCGGGCGGGGCGGGAGCGGGGCCCGAATCACCGTCACTTGTTAAAACCTCGCTCTAAGAAAAGGGGGAGGAGTGCGTAGCGGCCGGCGGCTTTCATTTCCGTGGGAGACAAATGGAAGTAGACAATCCGCCGCCGACCCTGGAGGGACTTGGGGGAGACCCAGGAAAGGGAAACTTCGGGTCTCTATGCCCCTCAATATTTTCAGCTGCGACGGGAGAGTCCACAACAGCAGGCAGGGCAGCGCGGCCAGGAAGGCGGCTGCAGGACACTGATTAAGGCGGATTGGGGCTTGGGGGTGACTTACGCAAGGTGAAACCCGCTGGGCCCCCAGGGCCTGGAGGAGGCCCAAGCCCCAGTCAGTCTCCCTCCATTCGCGGGACTCGCCAAGCCCTCAGCTTATCCGGCAGAGGCTGCGTGGGGGCCTGGGCACAGAGAGGGTACGTGTTGGCCCGGGGCAGCCCAGCACCTGCTGAGGTACCCTAAGTCGCAGGGGAAACTGAGGCCAGAGAGGCAGGGATGTAGCCCAGGTCCCAGAGGAGTGGGAATGGGGGGCGCCCAGTCCCCATCCATCCAACCCCTCCCCTGCTTGCAATTTCCCTAATGACTCAAATCGATCAAGGCCTGAGCCTGCAGCCTGTCCCGACAGAAACCAGCTCGATTCTATTTTACTAATTAATAAAAGGCCGCTGGTGGGGGTGGGAAATGCAGGATTGGGGTCCCAGGGGGCCACACTCCCTCTCTGGGGCCCCGCAAATTTTTGCTCCACCTCCCAGGAGGAGCTCAGCCTGGGCCAGAAGCGAGATCCCTGTCCCTGGGGGAGTCCAAGTCCTCATCAGCCTACGGCAGGGGGGGGTGCTGCACGCACCTGCATAAGTTTGGTTCCACCAGGCCGGGCCGCCCCTTCTGAGTCGTGGGAGCTTGGAAGCGGGTCTTAGGGTGTCCTGAGGCAGCAGAGGGGAGGAGGCCCCTTCCCCTCAAAGCCGGAGAGTCACCTCTTTTCTTTCAAAATGGACACTTTCCCTGTTAGAAAAGCCACACGTTTGTTGTAAAAATGAGAATGAGAATCGAAGTGTAGGAGATATTTTTGAAAAGCAAGCCCACATGCTCCCAACCCCCTGCCCCCACCCCAGGAGCTCCCCGAGATTGACATTTGGGGGATCTTTCTTCCCCCTTGTGCTTTCCCACCGTGGAGCCCCCAGCCCCCACCTGGCCTGGGCTTCCTCGGCGGCCGGCTGGGATGCTACCGTTTATGGCGGCTGATTGATCGTTAGATCACGCGATTATTTTTAATTATCTGTGATTGTTGGAGGGTGGGATTGAGGAGCCCGGGCTGGGGCTTGGCACAGCCCGACTGGGAATCTGTCCCCAGGGTGGGGGATGCTCAGCTGTTGGGACCTGCCCCTACCTGCTCTGTCTTCCCACCTGGAAGATGGGTGTGATTGCGTAAACTACCCTGCAACTGAGATGTCCAAGGACCTGGACTTGGGGAGATGCAGCCCTTGGACAGACACAGGCAGTGGGCAGCCCTGCCACCACCCACTACCACCGCCTACGGGGGGTCTGAGGCCGGTGGAGACCAGTGGTGTGACTCCATCCTCTGCGGCTGGGTGAGGAGAGTGTGTCTGGTAAACAGTAGGCACTTCCTCAATGCACTAACAGGGGTCCCTTTAACCCTATTCCACCCCAGGACTTGGGGATCTGATCTCTCCAGCCCCCCACTCCCCACTCCCGCTGTGGCCAGCATAGACCGGCCTCCAGCCTTCAGCTGGGACAGGCCAGAAGGCACCCCTTCCACATGACAGAAAGGGAAACTGAGATACAGAAAAAGCCCTGGTACAGGGCCAAGCCCAGTCATGGTCCAGGAAGTCACATCTCCAATGAGTGACCATGTCTGGGGCCCCCCGCCCCTCCACCAGGTCCAAGGTCTGAGGCCTGCAGCTGGGGACAGGGGCTGCCCAGAGGGTTTGCACATACTGGGGAGGGACCCCTCCACCCTCAGCTTACAGCCCTTGGCTCTCCCCACTGGGATGGGGGATTGGGGACCCCAGAAGAAAGCCCTATTAACTCTACCCTCTTTCCTCTTCTAGAAAATGGGCAGTGGGAGGAAGCATACATAGTGGGGAAGGAGGAGGGGGCTGGGCTGAGTCTCCGCTCCCCCCCCCACATACTCTCGCCCCAAGATGGGGGTGCCTTATAGGTTCTGGCCTGGCCACTCCGGAGCCCCATCCCTGATCCCAGTCTTACTCCCCTGGAGGAATCTCATCCCCTGGGGAGTCTCTCTGATTATAGGAGCCCCCTACTTGTCCCGTTCCCATGGGCCCCTGGGCCCCCCCTATCTCCAGGTGGTGAGGAGAAGGGGCACTTTGGCTCCTCCGCCCAAAGGAGACACCCCAGGCACAAAGAGGAGTTAGCAGCAGGGACTTCTCAGGAAACAGACAGGAGGAGCCTCCTCAGCCTGAAGGTGACAGAGGTGCTTTAGAAGTCAGCCCCAGGCTCTGGGCACATTGTAGAAGGACCCTGGAATTGGAAAGGTCCTTAGACACCCCATGAAGCCAGGCACTCCATGTACAGTTGGGGAAACTGAGGCCAGGTGCCCACACATGGGTCAGATCCTGACACCTGCAGGGAGTGGAGGCAGGGAACCAGCCCACTTGCCCCCAGAGAGGTCGTGTGAGGGGGCTGTGACTCCCGATGATGTGCGTGCATGGGGAGCTGAGCGTGCAGAGGGCACCCACCTGGGGTTTGTTTCGGTGGAGGGGACACATGGATTGCAGGCATCCCTCCAGCCACACTCCCAGGGACTCCCTGGAGATGGACTTGACGGGGGGAGGGGGGGGAGCGCCAGGTAGGAAAGTGACATTCGGGACTCTCTGGAGAGAACCGCAGAGAGAGACATGAAATCAGAGACGCAGAGACCAGGCCCCCAGCCCGACCTCGGCAGAGTCTGTCCTCGGACCCCCACCGGTTGTCCCCCCAGGGGGCGCAGGCGGGCGCAGAGGCAGGGGACCACAGAAACCAGAGTCTGGTCCACTCCTGCCTTCCTGGCGCTCGAGGGGACCAGGGCGGGCAGAGAGCGAGACGGCGGGAGGTGGCGGCGGGAGCGGGTGGGCGGGGGCGCTGACGTCAGACCCGGGCCCGGGCGCCGGCGGCCGCTCCCCCGCCACATCCTGGTGGCCGCGCTCGCAGCCGGACCGGGCCAAGCGCCGCGCAGCCGGGCAGCCTCGCGCGCAGCCACCGGGGAGCGGGCGGGAGCCATG